AATCCCCACTACCAAAAAAAAATTACAAAGTACACAAATAAGCAGGAAAATAAACTGAATAATAGACTAGGAGCCAATAAAAACCAACCCCAAACTGAGTAAATATATTAGAATTAGCAGATAAGGACAATAAAGATTACTATAAACTTTATTGCATATGTTCAAAAACTTAAGTAGCGACAGTATTGGAAATAATTGCTATTGCTTCTCGGCCTTTTGGCTAAGATCAAGTGTAGTGGAAATAATTGCTAATTGGACATTGCAAAAAAAAAACACCACATTAGTAAAGTTGAAGACAGCAAAAGAAACTATTCAAAACAAAACATGGACAGGAAAAATTAAAAGTAATACAAAGAAGAGTGATAAGTGCAAAAGGAGTTCCCAAAAGGAAAGCAGATGTGAAGTAATTTCAAATGTCCAAAAATTTTTTGATGAAAATTATAAACTCATAGTGGATCAGTGTAGCTCAATGAACCCTAAACACAGGAAACATTAACCAAACTCAATTCATATTACAATCAAATGCCCAAAACCAACCAGAGAGAAATGATATATTATGTACACAACAGATTTCTCAAATAAAACAAAAACATAATGGATCAACTTTTCAAATAATGAAAGAAAAATTTTAAAACTCATAAAATTAAATTCCATACCCAGAAAAAATACATTTCAAAATCAAGGATGAGAGATTTTCAGACATAAAAGAGCTACAAGATTTCCAATACCAGCAAACCTCCCCTCCCCTTCAGAAAGATCAACAGAAGTCCCTCAAGCAAGAGAATAATACCAGAGATATACTGATCAAGACAGAGGAATGAAGAGCCCCAAAAATGAGCATTTGGGTAGCAAGTGCTAAGTTTTAATGTAGTTAGAATATACATTTTTGGACTCTTTTTATTAAAAAGAAATGTTTTAATAAAAGTAACAACATCGTGTGAGGTTTATAAGGTACATACTGTAAAATGTAAGGCATAAATAGCACAGCTTCTAGCAAATCTAAACAAAGGGTTGGAGGGAAGGTAAAAGATCAGGAACTAAAATTGAATTATAACTATAGATATGAGGAACTTTACAAAAATGATAAGAAACCCTAGGCACAACTCAATAGAGTTGGATACAGGAAATTGTTGATTTTCTAGAAAAATGTTACCCAAATTGACTAAGAAAGAAAACATGAATACAGTAAGTCCCAGACTTATGTACTTTTGAGTTGCAAACTTTTCACAGATGTTCATGGACCTCCCATTATAAACATTTGCAGATGCAAACAAATAATAGAAGTAGCTCGTGTCTGTCAGACATTGTCACAGTTGTGCTGCTGTGTGCACAGTGCAATAGTGTACAGTAATATAGTGCTTGTTCCCAGAATGTCTGGAAGCAAGAGGAAAAGCTTTACATTGTGTATTTGTCTCAAAGGTGTGTAAGACTCACTTTGTTAGACTTACATATGAATCTAACATATAAAAGTTCTCCGGGAACGAAACTGTTTGTAAGTCAGGGATTTACTGTAGATGAATCATAGAAAACTGAGAAAGGAATAAAAAAAATACTTCTGAGCTAGCCCCAGATAGCTGAATAAATTGAGTTCAATGTATCCTGATGAAACAGATAAGTCCTATGTCAATTTTTTCCTAGAGTAGAGAAAAGCTTACCGATTTTACAAGGCTAGCAGAATTCCAAAACCAAATTAAATGCATACTTTTTAAAAATCTGTCAGTCATGAATATAGATCCAAAACTTACTGAAATTTGAGAAAAATAATAGATCTAGAGCAAATAAGGGCTCTATCAATAATATATCATGACAGGATGTAAATAGTTCAGTCTTAAGTGTTCTATTCAGAAAAGTTTGTTGCATTCTCTTTTCCCTTACTCAACTGACAAAAGTTCTTTTTTCTGTGCATCAAAACTTTACATGCACCCCTAGCATTAAATACTAGGAATTTAGTGGTGAGTAAGATATGGTTAGTGCCTTATGGAGCTGTCCAAACAAAGATACACAGAGTAAAAAGAAAATTATAATACAGTAAAAAGTCTGTAAGAGAAATACAGAGTATTACGGGGCAACTTAAGAGAAGTAATGCTTAAACTGAGCAGTTGAAGACAGTTCCTCTGAGCACTACAGTAGGATAGAGTACCCAGGTACCAAATAGTGAGAGCTCATATTAAGAATTTTGTGCTTAAGTTGGAGGCAAAAGATTTAATTCAGGTGGATTGAATATGAAGAAAACAGGAAGCAGAAAAACACTTGGTGCTTTGGGAACTATACTGTTGAGGTAATTGCCCATTCAACAACAGCAGCAACGAATGAGCAAAGTAGACACGCACAAAGTAAACTGAAAGTGGTATACAATTTGATTGGATGGGGAAGTCAAGGATTTTGGGGGAAGTCTATTAATAGGAATGGTGCTTAAAAAGGTACCATGGTCAAGTAGGTTTGAAAAATACTAAGCTGAGCATAAAAATGATTACTACTGATTGTCAGAAATTTTACACTGCTGTCCCTTAAGATAAAGTCAAACAGTATGGTTGTCAAATATTTCACTACAAAAACCTTTATTTTGTAGAATACCTTGTAAGTCTACCACAGAGCACTATGGGGGAAACTGCCATTTCTTTTACAGCTCTGTATTTAATACTTTGAGGATGTCCTGTTTTATCCCTTTGCACAGCACAGGTATTTAGTTTGATTGCTTCAATTGGGTAAAACTGAAGAGAAAAAAGATCAACTGGAACATCATAAGGACTCCCCCATAAAACCATTTAAATGGTGCTGGGAAAACTGGCCTTCCACCAGCTGAAGACTGAATCTAGTTCCTTACCTTTCACATGCACTAAATTAAAATAAAAATAGGTCAAAGATCTAAATATTAAAACGGAATACATAGGGCTGGGGGTTTGGCTGTGTCACCTGCCTCGCAAGTACAAGGGCCCAAGTTTGATACCCAGTACCAAAAAAATAAATAATAATAGAATACTTAATTTGCTGAAAGAATAGGTAAAACTCTTGAAGACAAAAGAGTAAGCAAAGACTTTATAAACAAAACCCAAGTTGCAAAAGAAGTATTACAAAGAATCAAAAAATGGAATCAAATCAAATTAAAAAACTTCTCCACCACAAAGGAAATCATGAGTGAAGAGACAACCTACAGATACAGAATGGGGAAACATTTATACCAGCTACTCCTCTGACAGAAGACCACCTAGAATATGTAAAGAACTCAAAAAAATTAGACCACCCCAAATTTAAAGATCCAATACAAAAACATACACTTCTCAGAAGAAAAAGCACAACATGCAATAAATATATGAAAAACTGCTGCTCATTCAAGAAATGCAAATTAAAACAATACTCAGATTTCATTTCACGACAGAAAGAGTGGCTATTAACAGGAAATCAACCAATAACTAATTCTGGCGAGGTTGTGAGGAAAAAAGAACTCTTCTGAATTGTTGGTGGGTATGTAAACTGGTACTACCACTACAGAAAGCAGTGTAGAGTCCTCAAAAACCTGAAACTAGGGCCAGGGATTAGTTCAGTGGTTCTGCCTCCTGCCTCGCAAGCACAAGGACCCGACTTCAATCCCCGGAACAAAAATAAAATAAAAACCTGAAAGTAGAGGCTCCATTTGATCCAGCTATTCTTCTCAGCATCTTCCCAGGAGTTAAAAGTCATACCATATGCCCATCAACAGATGAATGGATATAGTATTTTTAGTGCAATGGAGTACTACTCTGCCATAAAGATCAACTTCAGGCATTTTTAGGTAAACGGACGTATCTCAAAACCATGTGAAATAAATCAGACACACAAGTTTAAATATCACTGTTTCTCTTGTGAGAGAAACCCAAAGTATAAAAGATAGTGAAATGTAGGACAGAGCCTAAGCAGAAAGAAGTTTTACAAATGGGAAGGGAAACAAGAAATGGGGGTAAAAAAGGGAAAACAAATTTACACTTGATCTTAGCCAAAGATCAAGATGTGATGGGAAAACAAATTTAAAGGGAAAAAAAACAAAAGGAAATAAAAGTTTTTGTAAATTGGGGTGGAAAACAGGGTTTCAGGGAGGGGAAGGAGACAAAAAACAATGTGCTATGTACATGTACAAATCATGATGAATGTGATCATGATATACTGCAAATGTGTGCTAATAAAATTTTTAAAAAGCCATTTAAAAAACTGTTAAGATCACCTGTGAACCAATATAAAAGGATCTAAACCAGGTAAATCACAATACAGTATTATATAGATGTAGCTGAAAATAACAGGCTCACTGGAAATAAATCCTATTAAACTGTACATTTTTTCATCTTAATTCAATTCTGAGTAGTTATAGGTCTGTATTTAAAACTGAACACATTTAGAAACAGAAAATCTGACTATACATAAATCTTCTGGACAATAAGGTCTGTAACTAATTTGGCTTACAATACTCCAAACTATACTTTAGACACCAACAAACAACTAATTCTAAAAGCATCAAATTTAGTATCTACAAAAGATATACAGTATTTCAGGATGCTTAAGGTTAAAGAACTGGCAATTTGGTTTTTTGGATTTGAGGCATGGTTTTGCGAGGTAATTCAAGTTCAGCTATGTAGCCCAGGCTGTCCTCAAATTCATGGTGATCTTCCTGCTTCAGCCTTCCAAGTGCTGGAATTACAGACATGTGCTATCATATCCAGCCCAGAATTCCCAATTTTCACACCAAATTATCACTGAATAAAAACATGTCGCTAACTTAATACAATATGATGCAAAAGAAAAAAAAAAGACATCACTTTTTTATGGTTTTAATATATTAAAAAGTAACAGTACAAACGCTGATTAGTATTTAAAAAGATCAAATTTTTGAAGGAATGAATTTTATAAATAATTGTGTAATGATAGGGAAATATCATCTTGATACATAAAAATTTTAAAGATTTTAAAATTTTAAAAGCAGAAAAATGTTAACATTAAATTCTTTCCAATGTTCAAACAAAAATTAACCTGTACAATCTCTGTAACAAAATGTGTCCTTGGTACAGGGAACTTGGGAAATGTTAAAATTTCTGAAATTTGAGTGAGAGAGGCAGCATATAAAGACTTCATGAATCTTTTTTCCCAAAAAGAATACTTTCAGTAAAACATTTTACGAGTATGCATTGATATTTTTGCTCTTCCTGAAAAAGCGAATTCACATCAATACTGTAATTTTCCATGTAAAAATATACACATATAGATATTTCATGTATACTTAACTTCCTGAGTGACCAAGTCATACATCAAACATGATTTCATTAAAAATTTCTAAAATTTTACAAAGAAATAGTATATGTAGATTTATACTTGTACAGGGTAAAGTTACAAAGAGCATCTCACAGAACTTATACTTAAATTCTCTAAGTTAAACAAAATGATTTATCCTCTAACAATAACTTTCTGAAACTTAAAAAAAAAATCACTCAAAAATTATATTTTCTCATTTATTAACAAAATACAGATAGCCATTTGATTAGCTGATAACTATCAATACGGACTTCCTATTATATACACCAAAACTGAATTCACTCAGCACAGAATTTCTTGCAGTACAAAAAAATTAAAATATCTGCTTTATAATACAACCATCTATGAGGTCTGATCAAAGTATATGGGAATGTTTAGATTTGTAAAACTTGTTACAGTAAAATACACAACAGCATTAGAGATGTATCTTTTACTATAAATCTTTTTTTCAAAATTTAAATTTTAAAAAAATTATGCCTGGTATACAATCCACCCTTCTGAAGCTGTCTAAATGATTAGGAACCATGGCACTTTCATTTGCATAAACCCTTTCCTCTTCATAAAACCCTGAGGTGAAAGGTTATTAATGAAATAAGACTGGAACCACAATTCTTCTCATTTCTGTATTTAACTGTAGCTATAGGTTTTTTACAAATGTGGCAACTGGAAAAGCTTTTCTGTACAATTTTTCAAAATATTTTCAGCAAAACTTAGTCAAAAGAGCCTAAAATGGCCCTATAAAATAATGTCCTTTTTAATATGTGCTAGTGTCGAGATGACCGCCATTTTCCATCTCTACTACTGTCCCTTCTGTTATCATAATCATGGCTCCAGCCATCATGATTCCTATCTTCATAGAGGAAATCTTCCCTGCTTCCTCTGTAATGGTGGTCAGACCCATGATCAGTGTAACGCTGTTCTCGGCTATAAGGTCTCTCTGCTAGGTAGGGATGAGAATTCTGTCTGATTTTACGCTGTGATGGTGGTGTATTCTGGCGCCACTGGGAGCTTGAAGACTGGTTATAAGAATGATTATGTGATTGAACTGATGGTGAAAATCCTGATTGATCCACATGTGGAGAACCAAATTTTCCACCATATGGCATTTGTCTTAAAACATTGTTCATCTGAAGCAAGAGAAAAAGAAAAAAATGGTAACTGCAAATATTCCTAGTTATCAAAGCTAATTTATAGATATACATACATATACATATATATATATATATATATATATTTTT